TCAAGAGTGCCTGGTGCCTCTGAACAATCGAATGGGTTAATCCAAGCTTGATACTCCAAAATTAATTGAGCCATTAGCACAAGGTGATAACCAAACTAGAATCGACCCCAACGGTTGATGGCTTGTACCCTAACGATCAGCAAAATGTCGACCTGCCCAACCTAGTCCACTGTCTTTACATGATCGTTCGGTTTTAACGATGCATGAACTTTCTGCCTCGATTTTTTCTCTAATCACCACGTGCACTGGAAAACTGCCTACCAAGGGACTGGTTCTGTATTAAATTATCAACGAACGCAAATTAGATAACCAACACACTGTAATTGTAAATGTGCCCTAAACCGAACGATCATGTAAAAACAGTAGACTAGGTTGGGCAGGTCGAGAGAAACTCGGCCTCAATACAATTTACTCACTGGGTTATTGTGGGCTTAGACTGACTCCACTCATACAAAGAATCATGCTCACATTCACGTTGGTGACCGACCTATCGATCCATCTTGGTGCCTTTACCGGACCGACAGAGGTCAGTTAGCTCCGGGTTAATTCATTCGTATCTAGACGCACACTATAGATCAACGATCACGAACATTACGTTCCCGGGTGGAACGGGGGTGTGGGGGAGGCGGGGGTAGAACGGCCCACCTCGACCCAACCACCACCCTCCGAAACATTCGACCTTGCTCGGTAACTCGCGAAAAATGTACTTTTGTTTGTTTACCGAGAAATAAGTTCATTCGAACTGGAGGGGGTTTAGACAGACCCGGTCCAATCGGTGATATTTAACGGCCAAAACACCAATCATCTTCTCGGGTTTTCCAATGGAGTGCGATTGGTTGGATTCACTTGAAGTTGAAAAGGTATACCTTTTCGACAAAATGATTGGTGTTTTGGTGTTTTTTGTAGATGGATGTGGCAATTAATAAGACGTATTGTATAAGTAGTAATTTATCAAATATCGGAATGAAGGCAATATTGGGGAGCCTTGGAGAATCCGTTGAATACGAAATAGAACTGAATCACAGATATTTACAAAAGATGTCAAAAAATGCCTAGCCGTTAATCACCAGACAAGAAATAAAGAAATGAAAGAATTACTATTGAAGTTCTATACGATCCACTGAAATCCAATCTATCTCTCTCTTTCTCTCTTATTAGTCCTCAAATGATGATCGGAAAACTAAGCGTCATGGGACTTCGCAAATGGGTCATTCACAATGTCTCATTGGATGTGACTGACATGATACACTTGAACGATGCTTTATGTAACTCGTGAGGATGATGTTGGTACACCAATCTGGTAGGTGAACACTGTCCCCGCGACGAAGTTATTCGCTCATTAATGCAGTTCAAGAACCGATCACTTATTGCCTAAAGCAAAACTAAATAGCAACAGGAATCCTTGTAGTGAAGCCGGATGAGGAATAGTGTTTTTAGATGAATAATAATGATTACTATTTCCGCAATTCCGGCTTATCGTAAATGTTACTGTGAATAGACCCTCCATCTTTTGGAAGATTTTTTCAATCTCATAAAGGGACCATCGATGAACCGCTCTAGAACCAGGAAACGAAGACTATTTTTAAACCAAACAGAGCGATTATTTCCGCAAACATATTTAAGTAAGATGGAAAATTTTATTAAAATAGGAAAGAATATTTGTAACAGAGAATATAATGAACATGCAGTCCAAACCAATATCACCTATCTCACACCACTACTCAAAATTGACTGGGACTTAAATGTGTGTGCAGGGGGGATTTCTGGGGATTTAGTACCAAACTATGAGCAAATATGTTAAAGCAGCAAAGAATAAACCTGAATAAGGATGCAATTTACCCCGGATTGTCCCCGGTCATCATGAACCGGAATGAGACCGGTCAGAAGATCACACGCTTGTCGAACCACAAAAGCCTCGAGCACTGCGGATTTCAGCGTTAACTGCCGTATCGTGTACTGATAGATCTGCGGAAACGATGTACTGAACAGATTCATCAACTGACCGGCCTCAGCCCGAGGTCTTGTGAGTAGCCAACCTTTTAGAAGCGGTGCCCAATCCAAAGTGGTCGTGCTGATGTAGACCATACCTGAAGAACAAGTTTTACACTTCGGAAAATTAAGCATACACAGAATGAGAAGTCAGTGGAAACACCCAAAAAACTATCTTTTATTTACAACTGGACTCAGCAGTACTACATGTTGAGTAGCATGCGTAATGTGTACTTGTGTTCCCCCTCAGCTTTCATCTTTACGAAAAAGCCTCAGCTGGTCAAGTCAACCATACAGTTGGGAAGCCTCAGTAGTAGCACATACACACAAGCCATCCATACCAGGGGGCCGTGGACGAATCGGTGAATGTGGACCACGTATATTTTTCCCACCGGCTTCTGACATACTTGAATGCTCCACTTAAAAAATGCATGGCTTCTTTTTTGTTTTTCCAGTTTATTTAGATATCCATACAGGTGTTTAATGAGTATTACTATCTGATAACAAAAAAGCGGTTATTTTGTCCGGTCAATTCACCTTCCTTATCGGAAATAAATAAGAAACTCTAATGATAAGCGAACAAGGATAGTTCATCTTTTTAATTGTCGGGTCCATCCAAGTCAAACTGGACTTCGTGTGGTCAATAGGGTGAATTTTCGGCGCTTTCGATGGGTTATAGTGACGAAGGATGTACAAGACAAGTTAGAGGTGATGGAGCAATCGCATGCAGTAAAAAGAAAACAATACTGACTCGCTGACTGATTTATCCAATCCATACGTCCCATTAACTAAGATACGGGCAACATAAGTGGCAATACATGTCATTCAGTGTCCTACTGTGACCATGAATTTGTTTTGTCATTAAAATTTACAACGTATCCATGGTGCCCCTCGGACATTCACCTTTCACTATTATTTGCCAATATTTGTGGTTTAGTGCGTTATCAGAAAAGTATAAATATTGTGATTGGTGTATCACTGAATTTCGTTAAAAATATCCGTTATTTTCACGGCGATTATCTCCCACCGTATTGATGCTGAATTACAATGTGAGTATGAATATGAAAAACCACACATCAAATCTGCATCTATTTTAGTTCCGAATGCTCAGAAAGGAAATGCAATATTGGAGATGGATTTGGTCTCAGAGTTTGTGATTGGGCATCCAAACTTTTGTGAACAATATGCATGATATGATCAACGGAACCTACATTCAACTAATCATTCCCGCCTTTTATCTGTTCCTGTGGTGTATCGTGTGTCGCACACCACCGGTCTTCATACCAACTTGCCCTTCTCCACCGTGGCTCTAACGTCAGTATTAGCATGACTACTCTGGAGAATGTCAATTCATGCGAGGATTCGCTGACTGTGGCGAAGAATCCGGTTAAGAAACTTTCGGAAGCCAAACAGTAGATATGAAGAAGAAACTATCGCTAAAATTCAATACCCGAAATATCCAGATCCAGATTATCTTAAGCAAATCACGGTAGACGTATCTCTGAACAGAGAAAGTAATCCATGGTTTTTTTCGTGGGTGCGATACTTTTAAAGTCAACGGGTCTTGCGTTCACCGAAGCCTGACAGCAGGGAGGTGCGTAAAAACTGCTGTTCAATGGTGGGCGGTGTTGAGTCCGTCGGATCCCACATCCAAGCCACTCAATACATCGTAGCTTCCAATTTAGCCAGTAACCGTCGTGACGAAAGTGTCTTCGAGTTAATCCGTATAAATCTTCTCGAGAGATTTGGAGTCATGTTTTTCTCTCCAACCCACCTCCGCCTGGGTGAGTTGGCTTTGCGGGACTCATCAACGGATCTGTACCTCCCCCCCCCCTTACTGACACTTTACCTCCTCACGTTAGTAAAAGCATCTGAGCCAGGGGATAGTAGTGAGTGTGAATCCCCAGTAGGTTGTACAAGTGAATTAGAGATATTTGTTAACATTTATAGGAATTAGAGCTCTGATGATTTAAAACGATTTCACTGTGGATGAGGTTCCTTAAAATAACAAATTGACCTTTTCCCATCAAGCTTTAGCCAAAACCCGTAGTCCTTTAGCCTCAACGCACAAAATTTAGCCACGCCACAGTAGACGAGTCAGATCACTAAGTATCAGAATATTCTGAAGTCAACGAATGTTGAAAAAAATATTTTCCATAAATGTTTATGCTTCAAAGCTTGGTCAAGAAATAAGAAGGTGTGGGGGTTGCATGCTGCAACACATGTTGATTGGAGAAGGTTTAACCGACATGCCCGTATCGTCAAATCATTTGACACATCTCGTACAGCTTCAGTGTTTCTGTGTAACATGCGGTACTTCTGGGAGTAAAAATCTCCAGTGTAACTCAAACGATACATTGTTTTGCATTCACAAGTAAACTCTGATCATCAGAAGGGGATACAAAAACATGCTGTGGATAGCAAACCGTTCGTAAGAGTACACCCTCATAACTATCATCAGTTTATCAACGGTGCAACATATGTCACAATTACCATAGTCGAGGCTTAATTGTTACGGGATATGTCTATACCTTCTTGGGAAACGGTGTTCTAAAGGGGTCTTTTGTGAGCAGCACTTATTATGTCAAAAAGAGAGTTCACTTGAAGTGGATATACGAAATGGTAAGCATATACCTTTTGATTTATTTCAGGGCTTGTGAATGCAAAACAATGTATCGTTTGAGTTACACTGGAGATTTTTACTCCCAGAAGTACCGCATGTTACACAGAAACACT